ATTCGTTTTAGCCAATTTAATTTTAACCTTGCATATTATTACCATAACTCACGTGTTTCTCTCATCTTTACATTCACGCATCTTTTATTTCTTTGACTCAACTGTATACATTCATTTTTAGCTTTTGATCATTCAGTTGGAATCTCACCATAATTATATGATTCAAAGACTAAATTGAATTTAAATGACATGCATACATTTACAATCCTTGCATTATCTCATAGTTTTAAAGTCCTTGTTTTTGTCTTCACATCCAAATAAGTTTTCTATAAATTTTCACACTTTAGAATAGAAATTCTAGGAGCACATAATTCACTTCCATGTTTTCATTCACATTTATACTCATTCTTTTCGTTAAATCATTCATTAAAGGTTCAAAAATTTTCTCATTCACATCCATGATTCATTCACTTTAATACACAATTCATTCATTCTCAATTACTTTGCATTCATGCATTCATTCACATTCCTAAATTAAGTAATTCATTCACATTCCACCAAATCATGAACCATAAGCTTTCTCTTATTTTATTTTTTAATAAATCACTTAAAAAATTATACAAAAAATGTGTGAGCTACAAGTTACATGGAACAATTTTTACTATGAGCTTGAGTTTTGTTACAATACTTTGAATTTTGATTAAAGTATATCATAAGCTTCTAGGAAGGCAAAAAAAGATGAATCTAAAACCTAATTTCAAAATTTCCTAAGGTTCAAGAGGTGTACTTTATTGTGATATAATCCAATTAGTAGCCTAAGACCAAATTAGTTAGAGTTAGGGTTTGTTATGTTAGGTACTCAGTATACAAGTAACGTAGTTGTATATATACACATAGTTGTAATTCAATTTTACAGCTTTCAATAATAACAATTTATCAATTACTTTCCATTCTCTATCACATTCTTTCTCTCACTCAAAGTGTCTCACGAACTAACAAATTGGTATATAGAGCTTTTGGTTCGTGTTCTTGAATATATAAGAACTTCACGTTGGTGATTGTGTTTCTAGGGATCGTAAATCACAGTTATTGCAGAGATGAATGATACCAATCACATTCTGAATTCTCTTCCAATTCTTGAAGGCAAAAATTGGAATCGATGGAGTAAGGAGATGAGGTATTTGTTCAGTTTTCATGAAACCATAAAAGTGGTCAACAATGGAATCACTGAGCTTGCTGACAATGCAACTGTTGCTCAGAGAGTCATTCATAAGGATTCAAAGAAGAAAGATTGAAAGGTTGCATATTATATCCAATCTGCAGTAGATGCAGTAAACTTTGATCAGAGTTCTCATGCTAAATCGGTGAAGGAGGCGTGTAATATTCTTGTCAAGTATTATGAAGGAGGTAAAAAGGTTAAATTCATCAAATTGCAAACATTGTGAAGGCAATATGAATTACTGCAGATGGGAGAAGAAGAAAATATTACAAGTTATGTCTCGAAGGTACATAATCTTGCCCATCTCATTAAAGATTGTAGTGAAATCTTAACTGATAAGATGATAATTACAAAGGTAATGTGTACATTGAACGCTCACTTTGATCATGTTATCGTAGCCATTTCAGAATCCAACAATCTTGAAACCATGAATCAGGAAGATTTGGTTGGTTCATTTAAGGCACAAAAGATGAGGATTGTCGAAAGGAAAGGTGTTCAAGATTCAATACGAGTACTACAAGCTCAGACATGGAAGAAACATGGTGGTCCCAACAAGTTCAAGGGCAAAGGAGACAAGACTCAGAGCAAGAAGTCTTGGTCAAACCTTCAAAAACATAAGGTCGATGATAAGGATAGAACATAAACATTATGTTCTCTTAAAAACAATAACACTTTGAACCTTCAAGGTCAAAACAGTGTCATGACAGATATTTCAACATCTGTCAAAAACATATACTTCAGATCAAAAGCACAGGCTGAATAAATCATAACAGAATAAAAAATAACACAAGATATGATGACCTAGTTTGGTGTAAATCACATACATTTAGGGGCTACCAAGCCAGGAATGAATTCACTATTAGTAGTATTAATTTAGAGTTAAACTCTCCATTTACAACTCCTTACTTAATCCCTATCCAATACAATTCTATCTAGAAATCACCATCTAGATAAGAGAAGTCCATCTCAGTTCCCTTTAATCACTTCGTGTGATATCTATGGATTTGCTTAAAAGCTTCATCCAATAACAATACACAATTCATTACCTACAGGTTTTTGAATCTGTATAAACATTTGTGTCTATCACAATGTATCAATCGATACAAAGGGTGATTTACAATACAAGAAAGTACACGACTCTCAAAACCCTAAATCCTTATTTTCTACTTTGCAAAAGTCTCAATAAGAATTCTTTTTTTCCCTAGGTCTAGGTCTTCCTTTTATAACCATAAAGAAGACTGGATTTGGGCTTCAAAAACGCATCTATTATGTTCCTCAGAATCTGCAAAATATTCTCCTCAAGCATAGTTTCTTCAATCCTAAGTTTCCTAAAATGTTTCCACACTTTAGAAAACTGTACATCTTCAAATTCCAAGAGAATCTTTGATACCTTAATCTGAATGCCACATAGGATACACAAACAATCTTCTACAATCTGAATTTAAGTTAACAGATTCAAACTAGATTTAAAAACTATAACAGACAAAATGTCGAATAACCCTATTAGGACATCTTGTCAAAACATCTTGTTCTTCAAGTTCTGCTACATGTTAGGACATCTTGTCCAACACGTTTCTGTCAGATTTGTTTTATCAAAATTAATGCCAATAAAAAATTAAGGAGCCTTCAGACAATTTGGATTATAAGGGGGTATGTTGTGATATAATCCAAGTTGTAGCCCAAACCCAAGTTAGTTAGAGTTAAAGTTTGTTATGTTAGTTACTTAGTATACAAGTAACATAGTTGTATATATACACATAATTGTAATTCAATTTTACAGCGTTCAATAATAATAATTTATCAATTATTTTTTATTCTCTCACTTAAAGTGTCTCACACACTAACACATTTATAATCGACAATATCCCACAAACTCAACATAGACATGACGTTAAAACATGATCAATGACTTTAAGCTTGTGAAACACCTTCAATTTTTTTATTGAGAAGCAATTTTTGTGTGAAGAAAATAAAGATTTAGTGATCACATCTCTCCCATTAATTTGTTCTAGGAACATGAACTATGAAGAGTTGTTTAAGAATAATTTTCTCTCCCCCAAAAGACAAATCAATCTCTATATACTTGGTCATGTTATGTAACATATGATTATGAGTCAATAACACAAATGATTAATTGTCACATATCATTAAAGCAAGTTGCACTAGAACATTCAATTCTTGCACGAGAGTTTGACTCCATAGAAGTTTAGCTAATACATACGCTAGACTTTTATATTCAGTCTATGTGATTTGATATCATATTAGACTAGCGAGAATGATTATTTAAACTTTGATTTACAATTCTGTTAACTGTTTTTAATTACTTCCAAATCAATTACGGAGGTACACTTATAATGCTCAATAAAAGACTTGTTATAACATGTTTTAACTATCTGATATTGCCAATTTCCAATTACAATCTAACGGCTAGATGATCATCTTGTACGCTAAAGTGCAAATGATCGCTAATATGACCTCTCAAAGGCAAAATATCAATAAAAATATTAGCCTCATGATGATAAGTGTGGTTGACACGCCTAATGTCACATGGAGTGCGTATAAGAAGGTGAAAGATGAAAATAAATCAATCAGTAATGCTATTTTGACATCCAACTACACCGTATGCATTGTTCATGAATACGGTGAATAATACATGAACAATGCGGAACAATGTCACAACAGTATGAACATTATCATGAACAGTGTATGAACAGTGACTCATGAACAGTATTCGTGAATAGTTTTTTAAGTTATGAAACAAAGTTGGTTAATGAAGTATAAAAAGTTAGTAAATGAAGTGATGAAATTGGTTAATAAACGCCCAGAATTAAAAATATTTTTTAACAATAAATAAAGTTGGTTAATAATATGTAAAATGTTGGTTAATAGAGTTATGAAGTTGGTTAATCACATAATTTTATATAAGTATCATTTAATTTAAAAATAAAAAAAAATTTATATCTTTTTAAAAAAAATATATTTAATTTTATAATATTTTACTTTTTACTGTATTGGTGAAAAGTGAAATATGATGTAGTGTAAGAGTTGGGTGTCAAAATATCATTTATGTAAATCAATTATAGATTACGGCAATAACTTAGTTTAAATTTAGTTTCTAAAATAACCTGAATTACTTGCAACTCTTTTTCAATTGAATATCCATGTAAATATCCCACAACTCAGCCAAGAAAGAGTTTTCTCTAATATTTAAAACTAGAGAAATAATATCTATCATGTAATTTTGAGGAATTGATATGAATAATAAATGAGTAATGTAGTAGTTTCAAATTCGTAGAATTATAGTATTATTTTTATTTTTATTTATTTGAAATTGAATTGTACTATTTAATTACTATTTTTATTTATTTGTACTATTTCACTCTTTTTTATTGTAAAACTTTATGTTTTTCTTAACATATTATTTTCAATATATTAATTTCACTACAAGACCTCTAATTAAATATATTTGTATTTTTAATCAACAAAAAAAATTGTGTTAAAGAATGAGTTGTTTAGTTATATCTTTAAAATCTAGATGAACAATTCGATATCCTTTAATTTAATTGGGTATTAGTATTTTTAACCAATTAAATATTATAATTCAATGTCACATTATTTTTTTAATTTTATTTTATTTTAAAATAAATTAAAATTTTATCACAGTAACAATTCACCTAAAATCTATGCTATTGAAGTTTGAACAGTAAACTGTGGTGCACTATGCACAAGAGTACTTGTTTTGGCTAAATCCATGCGAGCAATTGATTGATTCAAAGATTCAAAGCGCGCGAGGGTTTTGTTTTTTACAATCAAGACTCAACAGTATTCAATTGAGTTTACCATGAAAGACCTTTGTAGAAATTTCCAGCGAGGCAGGTTATTCTTCTTCTTCTCGTGTTCCGTTCTTGTAACAAAATCGATTATCAGTTTTAGCACACAGATGATTTGAATTGGTGTTTGTTTGTGTGTTGTTCATGTTTCAGCTGTAGTTATGGAGAAAGGTGTAGATTTCTTCATCAACAACCAAATCAACAGCAGCGAAAATCTAATGCCTTTGGAGGACAGACCAATAAAAACCCCTTTGGGTTTGGGTCTGCTTCTGCCTCTGCTCCCAACCAACAACAAAAGAACAATCCTTTTGGTTTTGGATCACAGAATACCTCTCAGTCAAACGGGGCCCCTCGTTCCGACTCCAAACCAAACCAATTCCAGGTTCTTACTCTTTTCATATGCATGTGTTCGATTAGTTATTTGAGAGTTTGTGTAATGAATGCTTACATTCAGTTAGCTATTTGTTAAATGTTTGTTTTAAAAGTGGATATAGGACTTGGAGGGGAATAGGAATCAAAGTGGGAACCACAATTGCATAAGCTATTTTCATAAGTTACATCAAAGAGCTTATTCAAAATATGCTGTTTCCGGCAATAGTTTCAAGTAGGAGGTATAGGGTTTGATTTGATGCCTAGAAACTACGATAACCTTTTACTTGCTATCATTTGTATATAAATTAAAGAAGCTATCTTTCCTGCTAATGAAAAACCATAAGCTATTGATATGAGCTTATCTAAACACATTGAATGAATGCTTTTGTTATTAGATAAGCTTAAATAAACAATTTCAGACGTCCCCTGGTATAGACATTATTCCGTATTGGAAAAGAAAATGGATGGTAGGTTGAAGATAACCACTGTAGAAGAGCATACGATATGGTGGTAGAAGTCTCTGGTGATCAAAGAGAGCGGTACCTGCAAGGTTATCACCCTAATGCCCAAGTCAGTGTTTGAGTAGAACCGTTTCCGGTTGGCTCGATATGGATTGCGGGTGACTGTTGGATTGGGCCGGTCTTATTGAGCCTTTGGTCAGCCCGGAACAAACACATTGTGAGGTGTTCTTTTTTAAATGTTGGCCATTATTTACAATACATAAATATATCGATGATACTCTTCAATATTTAAGGAGTACCTTTTGTGACGTTCTCATTTTTATGTTTGGTTTTACCTTACATGTTAATATAATTATGTGACTATATGTTTAAGTATTGATGATTTACTTCTGAATCAGCCTTTTGAAAACAAATGGAGTCGAACGTCATCCAAACCTCAGAATGGCACTCAACGTCCCTCTGATAACAATTCCCAAACAGTGAATCATAAGTAAGTACTGGTCAATCCATTACTCTTACTCTTCTCTCAGCAAACATTATTTTTTCTTTATGTAGCAGTGGGGAACATATGGGTGAAAATAATACCACCTATATGTTGGATATACACCAGTTTACCTCTGATTAGAAAACATGAGAAGACAGGCCTAACAACCTACACTGTGCATAACATAACCCAGACTCATGGTGTTTAGGAATTTGCCTTTTATTTGAAGATACAAAATATGATATATTTTAATTTGTTACCTGTGTGCTACCTTTGTTTCAGCTAAAGTGGATGCTGTGTTTTTATATAATTTGTTAATGTGTGGCTAAGATGTGTGTTAAACTGCTTTCTCAATTAAATAAACATACAAAATTGAAGTTAGTGTTATTATTTTGTTTTCCTTCGCCATTGTGGTCTTTTTTCAGTGTTAACCTGGCCATCTCCTTTTTTGTTATCTGATTATTTTCTTTTCTGTATTAAATAAGTCTCAATATGATGATTTTATTTCCACACTCCCTATCAATGTTTGTGGCTCTTGCCTTTTTTTTCAAAAAATTTTTACACTTTGCATTGGGTATACTTCTTCAAGAAAGTTGTATAGTTCACTAAAGCTTGGTTGATGTAATTGAAGATGCACAGATCCTGAGATTTGCAAGCGCCAGATTGCAGAAGATTTTGAGCAAGAGAAACCACTTTGGATACTTACATGCTATGGTCATTGCAAAGGGTAAAGTTTTCTATGCACAAGGGTTTATAAACAGTACTCAAATTTGTTTTTGATACTATAGTATGTGTCTTAATCATGGAGGAAGTCATTGTGTAGTAGTCTAGTACCTAATAAAGTCACAAACCATGTTGGCAAAAGATCCATATTCCTCAAAACCTGTGAAGTGGACTATGTTACAAAAGATTGTCAACTACTTTTGCATCTATTCTTCACATCTAACAACAGCTAAACCACTAACCATTATACATTTCCTCAAGCTCATATCGTTGAAAACCGTTTTCAAAGATGAAAGATGTTTTAATGGGGACCGATTTCATTTGCATTACAAAGCCAAGTGATTGGAATTTGCATGGAGTGTTCACACACAGTCTCATTTTCTATTTAAACTTTAGTGGAGCCTCCTTTAGTTGCATATGAGTCATGCCACTGCCCAGTCTGTTAACTGTTTGGAATGAGGAGTAAAAACATCATCTCAAGAAATTCCGCGTACCAAATTCTGTACCAAAAAAGAGATCCTAATCTACTTTCCACTCTTGAAATAGAAATTACTTTAAATAATATTAGCCAATGCACTAATAAGAAAGCTAAGTATATTGAGTGGTTTTGACTCTTTTATCCAGTGCTCCTTGTGACATTATTGGAGATATTAGCTATGAAGAATTACGGGCATCAGCTTACGAGGATGCTAAGAACGGAATGAGTTTGCCGCTAATTGTAAGAATTCTGATCTCATGTACCTACATTTTCATTCTGACATTAAGAGATTGTATTGCTTTGATGCATTTTTTTATTCCCTTTTATTTTTCCACCCCCCTCTGGTGGATACCTTATTCCCTACCTATACTTGCAATTCATTTTTCTTTAGTAATTTTTCTCTATTGAAGAAAAGCCTCTTTTCAACTTTTTGTACTAACATTTGCACTACAAGGTGTTTGTTACGTTCATGCAATTGTCTTTTCTGGTCTAAGTAACTTTAAAATATGTTGTTACAGGTTGAAAAAGAGAGAAACATACTAAAATCCAAGTTGGCTGAGTTTGACAAACTACTTTCTGAACCCTACAAAATGCCTCTGAATTCTTCTCTTGACATTCAAAAGTACCAATCTAATGGAGCCAATGCAAATGCATTTTCACCAGCTACGCAAAATAATGGTCCTTTATCAGTCTCAAGCTTTAGCCAACTGGGTGCTTCACTGAACACTGGTTTTGAAAGGTAACACTGACATGATTTGGAACATTATCTGCATTTTCAATTGTGTAGTAAAAGAAATAGCCTAAATCAAGAAATATCCAAATTTTAGCCATAAGGAGCTTTTTAAGTGGTACTAACTACGTCTCATAAAAAGTGTCATTTGCACTTTTTCCGTGTCTCAATAAATGTCTCTTTACAATACCAATACAACATTTATTATTATTTTATATTACTATACCCTTATTAACTTTCACTCTATTCAAGTACACCGCTAACTATAATTAATAAGAGCATTTTAGTAAATGATTAAAATTTTATTATTAAAATCAACTCATCTAATGATTTTCTTAAAAACTGGGCATAGTTCAAATAAGACACTTATGAGACTGAGGGAGTATATGGTTTGATAAGCTATTGACGAGGCTTGATGTTTTCTGACCAAGTTTCTTCAGTCGGCTACATCACACCTCTACACAATTCCTTTTTCTAAAACTGCTATCTACTATTTGTGTTTGTTTGGAATTATGGGGTGATTGTCAAGAAGAGAGTCGTGAAAGACATGAATCTTTCTATTATTGTGGTTTAAGGTTTTAGTTAAGGAAATGTTAGTACAGACTAGTTGAATATCCTTGCAAGTTTTGTAGAATGGCCTAGGTCATGAGAGTTTGGTGTCTTACATACCTATAATGGGTTATGATGGGTTTTTTTAGTTTGGCATTGAAGGATTGAAAAAACAGTGTATGCTATAATGTATAGGATGCAAGTCTCCGATCATTCTTTTATTTTTTATTCTCGTGATTTTTATTTGTATGTCTGCTCTTGGTGTATATATGGTAATCTGTGTGTAACTTATTAGGCCCTCTGCACCACCAGCAATTGCTCCAGCGCAGCCTAATTCCTTTGGTAGTGGAGGTACGTGTTTTACAAAACGTCTATAACTAGTACTATGACTATGTTTATCTTCTATTTTCCCTGTTTGATCATCAATGCTGTGATGAATTGTAGGAAACTTTTTCACATCCAACACAGGAAACTTATTTGGAAGTGGAATCTCAGGTTCTCAAAACAACACAGGAAACTCCTTCACATCCAACACAGGAAACCTATTTGGCAGTGGAGTCTCAGGTGCTCAAAATAACACAGGAAACTCTTTCACATCCAACACAGGAAACCTATTCGGCAGTGGAGTCTCAGGTGCTCAAAACAACAACCCCTTTTCTACTCCAGCAGAGTTGACAATGTTTCCAGGATCAACTTCCCAGTTCCAACAACCATCCATTGCGTTAAATAATACTAGCTCTGCCACAATGCTTCAGACAGCATCATCGGATGTTCAGTTGTAAGTCACTGATCACATTTGTGTAAAATTCTGCAAAAGTAGTTGTGTCAATTTAATCAAATTCCACTTCATTCATTACTCAATCAAAAGTAGTTCTACTACTGCATTGCTTGGCCATATACAAGTTTTCAGTGAATATGGAGTTCAATTAATATAACATAGATCATAACCCAGCCCCTTGACCTTTAGTGTTTTCAGCTTGTTGCATCTTAAAATTAGTTATGCACTTTCAATTTGAGCAAGTTTCTTGACGCTCTTCTGTAATTCATTTCGCATCAACTCATAATTGATACTGTTCATTCTAATTTCCCTATAAAGTAAAAGACCCAATTGCACCAGTTGTGAATGTTATAATCTGGACAAAGTTGGGTGCATAGGTCAGTGATAAAATCATTTTTGTATAGCCATATGTTACAGTTTATAGATTAGGAAGATTTAAACATTGGGAGAGATGCTTAAAGCAGATTAGTCTTTTGTTTCCTTTAATTATTTCAACAAAGCCTTCAACTTTTGTTAGTACTTAGTATATGAACCTTCTTGGAAACTATACCTTTATTACTGCACTAACTTTCCGAGGTTATCTTTTTAGAACTTCTAATTCAGCTTCATACGCAAGTTACAAATACTTCTGCTTGAATCTTATGGTCATCTATTCTTGCAGAAATACATCCCAAGTGGAGAATGCGTCTGTAGATGACAGTATCTGGTTAAAGGAGAAATGGAATCCTGGAGAGGTAACAGTCTTTCATGTGCTAAAACACACAATTCTTCATCTCGGTGCACTAAAATTTTGGCAGATACAGGCTTACTTTTTGTTGACTATGTATTTTGATATTCAAATGTTGGGGATATTTTCTCAAGTGGTTTGTGAGATTAATGCTAACATTTTTCTCTGTTTCATATATCTTTTAATTTGACAGATTCCAGAAGAAGCTCCTCCAGACAGATTTATTCGGTAACATCTGTGTATTGGCACGTGGTAACATCTGTGTATTGGCACGTGACACAGAGCGGTTAGGTGTATTTTAAGAACTTTAGGTCCTTTCTTGGTTAAATTTTACAACAGAGCTATATCAACTGATGAATGAACAAGAAGAAATGAGGCAGCAAAAGCAAAGCCTCGATTACAGTTCTTGTATTGGTCTTGTACGTGCAAGACTATTGAGCTCAAATCAATCTCTTCTTTGGTTCTATTTTGGTTAATTGGACAAAACCCCTCTATTTTGTTGATGGCATCTGACAATTTCCAGCTCAAATTTACTAATTTTGTTTTAGGTAAGATTTCTACGTATAGATGCAACCTTTCAATGGCTTTCCCTCCAAATCCCTTCAAAAACCAACTCCAAACGGATTTTAGGTGAATATGTGGTGTCCCTTTTACACGTGTCTTTAACCTTGTGTCTTTAATCTTTAGGCAGGTTCGAGTAAGGGACTGGCCTCTTGTATCGAAAGTTTTCTTGATATGGTGGTGGTTAGACGGCGTATCCCGTTGAAGTGTTTGTGACATGGTAAGAGTGTCTGAAAACGACAATACAAATATGTGAATGAAAAAGTGGTGAATAAGTGAGATGACTCATACACTAATTGCTTTAAGGTTTTGGGTGAATAAGTGGAGTCTCATGTGTTTGCCATTGTGTTTGGATGGAGGGTGTTCTTGAATAAATTGGAGATGAAAATTGTGAGTCTATTAATATTCTGTGACAACATTTTATCAATCAAGGTCTCTAAAAATCTCGTGATGCATCGGAGGACTAAACACATTGATGTAAATATCATTATTTATATGATTTTTTAAATTAGGGAGTGATAAAGTGGAACACAAGAACGAGTCGTAGACATTATTATAAAGCCATTAAAAAAGGATAAACTTAGGAGACTATTGGATGTACAACCATTTGGAAATTGAACTATATTAAACCGAATGTTCGATGAGTATTTCAGATTAAAGGGAGAAATTTGTTGATATATTTATTTAGACTTAAGACTTAGTCTTTGTTATAAATGAAAATGTTAATTTAGTTAAGTTTAGGAAGCTCCTTTTTAAGAAACATGAAAAAATGTTATGAGTTATTATCGTGTGCTATTTCTTATTATTTTATGAGGTTTCTATTCAATTTGTAAGACTTATATAAAGCTATCATATTTTTATTTTCTAAGAACAACCTCTTATTATTTTATGAGGTATTTATTCAATTTGTAAGACTTATATAAAGCTATCATATTTTTATTTTCTAAGAACAAGAAGTGAAGCTACTCGATTAATATTGTTAAAATTATTGATACACTTCACTTCTTGTTTTTACAAAATAAAATTATGAAGATTTTATATAAACCTTACAAATTTAATAGAAATCTTAAAAAATAATATTATAATCCGTAACATTTATTCAACTTTTTTAAAAGGTAGATTATTAAGCTCAGCTAAATTAACATTTTTATTTATAATAAAGAATAAGTCTTAGTAAATATACCGATAAATTATTTCCTTTAAACTGAAATGTCCATTGAACATACAATTTAATTTTCGAGTGGTTGTATTTCCAGCAGCTTCTTAATTCTCACAAATTGATTCAAGTTCAATAGCTTTTGTCATATCCGTTCTTGTGTTCACACAAAATCAACTTTACCACTCTTTGATTTGAAAGGTCACATAAATAATGATGCTTATATAAAGTCATCATATTTTTTTTATATAAGTCATCATATTTTTTTTACAAATTGAATAGAAACTTTAGAGAATAATAAGGAATAACAAATTATAATAATCCATATCACTTATTCAGCATTCCTAAAAGGTAATTTATTAAATTTAACTAAATTAACATTTTTATTTATAACAAAGTCTTAGTAAATATATCAATTTTTTTCTTCTTTTAAATTGAAATGCTCGTTAAACATACTTTACCACTTCCTTATTTGAAAGTCTTAGAAAACCAACTTTACCATTTTGTGATTTGAAAGATAATGTAGATAATGATATTTGACATCAATGTATTTAGTTCTCTGATGCATCATTGAATTTTTAGAGAGTTTGATTAATGAAATGTTGTCACAAAAAATATCAATATATTCGCAATTTTTATCTCCTATTTTTTCATGAACACCCTTCATCCAGACACAATGGCAAGCAATTTAACTTCAGTAGAGGATAATGTAACAATGGCTTATTTCTTCGAACTCTAACAAACTGTTGCCTCAGTTAGTAGAAAAACATACCTGGAAGTACTTTTTATGTCATTTACATCTCTTGCGTAATCATTGTTAGTATATGCCAAAAGCTTCGAAGCAGTCCTTCTTCTATAAAACAAGCCACGTAACGTTGCTTATAAAACAAGTTATTGAATAAATGATGTATTTGTACTATATATAGAGTAGATACATCAGTTATTTAATGAATCTAAAATGTAAAAGTTGCTAATAAAAGAGAATAGATGGAGTACCTCTTAAATACCTCAAGGTTTTTTTAGCAATTTGCATGTGTTCCTCCTTTGGATTAACCATATAACGTGAAATCAAACACACTACGTACATCATATATGACATATGTGAGTGTAGTTGTAAGATACATTAGACTACCTACTAATTGCTTGTACAGAGTTGAATCGACATCTTTCAGAACTATTGGATTTTTGACAGACTAGCAATTCCACATACTGAATCTTTCCAAAACCTCACTTGCATATTTATTTTGGTATAAGTGAATTCCATTTGCATTATGAATTACTTTAACTCCAAGGAAGAACCTTGTTTTACCAAGGTCTGTCATCTCAAATTCGTTCATCATGGACGTTTTAATCTTGCACACGGTTCTTCACTATTCCTAGTGTATATCAAGTCATCAGCATAAATACTTACTATGATTATTTTTCTTCTCTTCTCTTGATGAATAAAATATGGTCATGTTTACTCTTTCTAAATCCTTCTCGCTGGAAGTAACTATCAATTATGCTAAACCATGTTCTTGGCACCTGTTTTAGGTTGTATAAGACTTTGTTCAGCCTATATACCTTTTTTTCTCATGTGTTTAATGAAGCCTTCAGGTTGATTCCCATATACCTTTTCCTTCAATTCTTCATATAAGAATGCATTTTTTTCATCCAACTAATACACATTCCATCCTTTTTGTGCTTTCACAACCAACAAAATTTGAATCTGTCACATCGTGTTGCAGGAGCATATACTTCATTACAATCTACCATTTTTATCTGTGTATACCATTTTGCAACAAGTCGAGCTTTGTACTTCTCAACCCTGTCTTCTTCATTCAATTTGGTTTTGTAAATCCATTTCACTCAAATTTTCTTGGCTTGTGTTGGTAGATTCACTAACTCCCGTGTTTTATTCTTCTCGATGGTATCTATATCATGTTCCATGGCTTCTATCCATTTTACATCATTCACAATTTTCTTTTAATTTGTGGGATCATCATTTGACATGAATAAAAGCATTTGGGTCTTTTGTTCCTCTTTAGAAAGACATTCACCACTTTTGTAGTCCTGCAACCTACTAGGTGCTCTTATTTCTCTTCTTGGTTGTTCCTCGTGTTGTAATGTAAGCTCGTGGTTTTCAACATCGCTTATTTCTATTTATATATCTGGTTCTTCGTCAAAACCCTTCATGTCACTTTGTTTCTTCTGAATCTGCGTTCTAATTCCATTTCCCTCCTTCTTAAAATATGGCATCCCTACTTACTATGATTTTCTTCAATATTGGATCATACAACTGGAAAGCCTTTGATTCATCATTCACTCCAATTAATATACATTTATGACTTCTATCTTCAATTTTAGTTCTTTTCTGCTCAGGTATATGTACATGTGCAATGGATCCAAGCAGCTTAAACTAGTCAACTTTAGGTTTCATTCCACTTCATCTTTCTTCCAGTATCATTTTCTTTACTTCTTTGGTAAGACTTCTGATAATCACATGATTTATCCACTTCCTAGCTTCGGCCCATAAGGTCTTTGTCGTCTCTTTCTCAATAAGTAAGTAGGGCACCATATTCACAATTGTTTGATTTTTTCGTTCGGCTATCCCATTTTGGTGTGGTATGAAAGCAGTTGTTAACTGTCATTGAATTATATTCTCTATGCATAATTGATTGAACTTGTTTGAGGTGAATTCTCCTCTCCTATCTATTTGTAAACAACATTTATGTTTTTGAGCTTCTTTCTCAACCAAAATCTTAAAGCATCTGAATATCTCTAATGTTTCACCTTTTTATGTTAGAAAATAAATTCAAGTTTTACGAGAGTAGTCATCTACAAACACTACCAAATATCTCTTACCACTATAAAAGATTGGAGTGATTGGACCACACAGATCTTCATGCACCAATTCAAGTTTTCCCGATGCTCTCCAATGACTTTTCTTGGTATTGTCTCGGTGTTGCTTGTCAGTATTACACACTTCACAAAACCCAGTAACTTCCTTAAAAATTGGTAGCCCTTTCACCATATGTTTCTTTTGCATAGCAACAATGAACTTATAATTTACATGTTTGTACCTTGTATGTCATAGGTTCTCCAAGTTATCCTCCTTATCCTTTCCGTGGAAGCGGTTTTAATGTAGCATGAATCACAAACATCTGGTTCAAAGTCATGTTGTTGTCTACATCTTTAAGGTTTCAAAATAACCATTCATTAATTCACTTTTATCGTGCAAAATAACCATTCACTAATTAATTGTTTCACCCCAGTTGGTTAAAATTTGCGTGCACCTTCTTTTATTAAGATTACCAGGCATTTTTCTTGAAGTTCGCAAATTCTTAACAATTTGTTGGTTAAGTCAGACACAAAGTAAATTTCATCCACATTTTGAATTATTTCTTCCAATTTAAACCTGACACTTCCTTTTTCCATTACAGACATTCTTTAATTGTTTTTGAAACTTTCATCTAGTTCTACAAACCACCTTTTATTTTCTGTCATGTGATTTGAGCAACCAGAATCGAGAAACA